TTATTGTATAAATATAAATATTTTATATTTCTAAAATCTGAATAGTGCCTGGTTGGCATACACAGCAAGCCTGTATCTTTTGGTGAAAAGTAACATACAGGCTCTTAGTTTATAAAGTGCTCTAATGTGTGGCTGTCTGTGTTTACAACAGCCTAGTTCATACATGCAACACACAGCTTGTCTGCTGGAAGACCCTAATTAATCAGCAGTGCAGCAGCTTTCAGGTACGCAGGTTGGCCTGCAAAGGCCTCTTTTCTATGTGCTTTTCCTTCTCCAGGGCAGAGTTGGGCCCTCTCTTTCTCTCTTTCCCAGTGCAGAGTACCTGTACACTTATTGACAAACAGTATTGTAAGAAGCTCAGCTTATCTGAGAGGCAGTATGTAGACATGATTGTCCAACAAATAAGTTCAAACAATGAGTGCATTGTGAATGAGTACTCATCTTTTGTATACTCTCTGTTAATACTAGTATTGAATCCATATTACAGTCTTACTAATAATTTATATAACAAAAAGTGGAGGGAAGAGACCTCTCTCTTAGAAACCTAGGAGACCAAGTAAATTAATTTTTTTTTATGTTGATATAAGTGAAGAACCCCAGCATCTTCTGCCTGGATGTAGTTTTCAGTTAGTTTGGTACTAACATTAATATATAGTAATTTTGATTCTGATGATATCACCAGATGGAAGCTGTTATGTGAGCAAGAAATCCTCAGATTATTCCCCAAACTGTGTGCCTTTTGGTGATTTGATAAGGTGGCAAGCATTAAAGCAGGATTTTACTAACCTTAAAATGGTACAGCAGTCCTGTATCATCATAACTTTTAGAGTTATTTAATGACCCTTGTACTTAATGAGGCTTTTTATTATTCTTTGAGATGAGGAGAAATGGCATACAGAGATTATTTGCACAAGAAGACTTCATCTTGGCTATTCACTAGTAAGGAAGCGGAGAGTCTTGTTCAGTGAGATGGACCAGTAGTCAATCGGAAAATAACATATGGGTCACTTTGGATGAAGAGGCACACGAAGCGGGTTTCATATTTGCTTTGAAGCACCTCACAAAATCCAGAGGAGGAGATGTGTCTCCTAGTGTCTAGCAAGGGAAAGAAACATTTTTTCTGAGGGGTAGCAGAAAAGCACTGGAGTGTGAAGGCACAGAAGGTTATCCAAAATACTCGCTATAATTTGTGTGATTATTAATATCTGCACATCCTGTCATTTGGCTGGAGTAAAATGTTGCTGTAAGGTCCTTGAGACCAGTCTGAGACCTGGAAACTAAGTTAGGGAAGATGGGCAGAAAGCACCAACTCTTAATGTTGGGCAGCTGAAAGCAAAATAGGGAGTAGTCAAGGTACATCTTACTTCTCTGGTGTTGGGCAAAAATGCATAAAGATACAGCATTGGAAGATTGTTTTCCTAAAGCATTTTTTTAAGTCCATGAGGAAATAGAGGTTAAGACTGCCTTTCTGCATGAGAGCGGCACATGGAACGTGCCAGTAAATTGAGTAATTCTTTTTGGACTTGAATGTCCAGCTTGCAATTCAGTCATGTTTACTTCATGCTCAGCAGGACCCTTCCAGCAATGACAGCATGGCTCAAGTAAATCATACACTTGGCACAGGGTTAGTGAGACCGATTTTTTTCTCTTTTGTCTGAACAAGTGATCGAACTCTTTTCAGAGTTGGTAGCATATATGCCAAGTGTCTGATTTTAAGCTTTTTTGGTTTTATCTTTAGTCTGAAACACAAGCAGAGCTGTAACTAGGTAAGAACCTTGTATTTGTGCTGGTTATTATGGGATGAATAGTTCACTTGATCCTCAGGCATTTTTGTTGCCAGCTGTGTTGCCTAGGTTAATTCACAGTTGTTATCTGTATAAGTTTGTCCTTGCAGGTAGAAGGCCAAACTTGTAACATTAAACAGTCATGGTTTCTTGCCACTGCTGTGTGTAGGCATGAACCCTCTCTGGAAAGTAATTCTCCAGTTATGTTAATAACCAGTAGTCTTGATTAAAAGTTGTTACACTGCAGTGCATCATATTTCAATAGCTCAAACTCTTGATGTTAGTGCTTTTTAAACAGCCCACCATTTTCTCCTGGCCCTTTTTAAAAAATTCATCTATCGGTCTGCACATGATTGTCATAGGAGTAGTAGGGCTCAGACTTGCTGAAATTTTTCAGTGGGCTTTTTTATTTTTCTCATGAACAGAACATGTTTTTGGCCATTATCAATGATACATACTCCGAAGTGAAATCGGATATGGCACAACAGAAGGCAGAAATGGAACTGTCTGACCTTATCAGAAAGGTAAAAGTAGCGTTCTGTTTGACATCTCAATCCTCGCATCTGAACTTACTCCATAAAATGCTATATAAACAATACAAAGTAAAGCTGGCAGCAGCTGATGAAAATAAACATCTCTTAGTTAAAACAAATGAATCTGAGCTGAGTGTAAATTAAATGAGTGAAAATTGAATTAATGAATACGTCACAATGTATTTTAGTCATCTAAGACTTTGCGTTGAATAATCAGCCTACTGAATATGACAAAGGATTTGTCTGTCTAGGTACATACAGAAATATTGAACTGATGAAGCTAAACTGCTGTTCGGTTTGGTCACAGAATTCAGAATTACCTTGTTTCAGGCAATAAAATGAGGCAAGTCTTGGATATTGTGTTGGGAGCTCCCAGGGGCAGCTGGCAGTAACGTTGTTGAATACAAAGTTAAGAGCTTGACCTGAATCCCAGTTTAGGAAAAACATGTACACGTGTGTGCGCTCTGGCACGGATGTAATGCTGTACTGTGGTCAGAAATGTCTAAATGCATGCTCAGCATGACCGCTAACTCAGAGTTTAAAACTTGCAAACCAGTTATTAAAACACAACAGACAAAAATGAAAAGTGCTACTTTGTTGGGATGAGGACTTTTCAAAAAAAGTCATTCCTACAACTGAAGAATGAGAGATAAGCAAAATGACTGCAGAAAGTTGTACCTGTTTTGTCAGCATTATTTAAAACTGTCAACTGTCAGTAACTGCCAAAGGTGTCTTCCTGGGACAAAATATTCAATTCCTACTGACCTGCAGTACAAATTGAATGATGAAAGCCTTACCTCTAACTGCAAAGGTATTTGTGTGTTGCCCATTTAAATGCTGAAATAAAAGATGGATAAACTGGAGGAAAAGACAGATTCTTGCAGGGCTTTTGGAACACACTGAATAATAGTGTATACTAGCTGATTTTTGTAATCAAAAAAGTTATTAGAAATCAAGTGTTAACATTTCATGACAATAAAACATGACACTTCACTTTTAGGGTTACAACAAAGCCATGATCAAACTTAAATTGAAGAAAACTACTGTTGATGACATTTCGGAAAGTTTGAGACAAGGTGGGGGAAAACTAAATTTTGATGAACTCCGGCAAGATCTAAAAGGGTAAGGAAGCTGTTACTTCTTATCTTAAATAGTATCCCCAGAAACATGTGATGTTGAGTCTTTGATGTGAATTTCTCTCCCTAAGAGTATACTAATGTGAATAAAGACAACACAGCAGAATACTTTTCTTTTGGTTAGTGGGTAACAGAGCATGTGCTTTTCCTGTATCTGGTGGGAGGCTTATGTAAACAACCAGATGTGTACAGGTAAACAGTCTTTGCATATGGGTCTGCAGGCATTGCACAAGGAATGAACAAAGGAAAGTTCAAACTGTGGCATGGAACTGCAGAAGAAGAGAGGAGTGGGAAAAGAATGGTCAGTTTGAGGTGGCAGAGAAGTCTTAACTGAGGAGGTCTGCTGAGCTCTGGCCCCTGGAGTCTGCACTATGGCTGGTGTTGCTGCAGTGGGGTGACATGCAACACTGGGGGAAGGATTTGGCACTCTGGGGCCCAACCTCCTTGAGTTGCTGTGTTGTGGGGGAGAAAGGGTCTGAGGAAGCGGAGATCTAAAGCCTTTGAGGAAATGGTAATGTTTCTATCAGAGCCACTGCAGGAGTTTGTGAACAGGCAGGAGTCCAAGGAAAGGGACCAAATCAGGGAGGTACAAAAGGGATGGTTGTGAAGGAGCAGGGTGCAGTCTGCAGTCTAGGGCAGATTCGTGCTATTAATGAAAGGTGAGGGTTGAGCTTTTTGTTATCAGTGTTGTGAATTTATAGGCAGCACTGGGATGAGTCGTGTCATTGGCTTGGGGATGAAAGTCTTTGGAATGAAGTGTTTTTCTAATACTTGAAGTTCATTCAGTGTATGAGCTGACACAGGCAGGACACAGGAACAACCACAAAACCACAGATGAAATGCAAAGAGTAGATTTATTTTCACCAACTGGGGGATCCCTGAAAGCAGCACCTGGGCAGAGGCACGCAAGTGGGAATGCAGGCACCATGGAACTCAGTCCTTGCTAGAGGATCACTGAATCTGCTGTTTTCACCTGTATATTGGGGACTCACACAGCCATAGTTTACCAGTCTGCTTTGATCTTTCCCACAGCAGGGCAGGAATCTCAAGCACATTGGATAGGGTGCCTCTGAGTCTATCACAGGCCTATGTTATCTAAACACAGATTTTCTGCTTGTTAAGCACACAAGACTAAACAACAATTAGTATGACGTGTTTTTTGACACCCCAGCTGCAAGTCACTGGAGTGTGTTTACAGTCCTTCTTGCCATTCTTCTGTTATTTTCCCACATTCAGCATTTGAAAAATGGAAAGGGAACTATTTTTACTGCCTTTTCAGGAAGGGGCACACGGATGCAGAGATTGAAGCAATATTTACCAAATATGACCAAGATGGGGACCAGGAATTGACAGAGCATGAACATCAGCAGATGAGAGATGACCTGGAGAAAGAGAGGGTGAGCTCAGCATTAGAAGTGGTATGCCACCAGCGCTATCTGCCAGTCTTCTCCCCGTGCTGGTTTGTTGCCCCAGAAGAATCCTCTTGTTACCCTTCACATTTGCTCTCATCCCTGCCTGTCTGAGCAGAACTGTAAAAAGGCAAGGGGGAGCTGATAGAGGGCATGAGGTCTTTGGCCTTGACACCTCCATCCCCCATGTCCAGGTGAAGGTCTTTACATCTCTGTCTGTGGCTTGTGTCTTCACAAAGGAGGATCTGGACCTGGATAGGAGCTCTCTGCCACGTCCTCTGAGCAGCCGCAGCTTTCCCCGGAGCTTGGACGACTCAGAGGAGGATGAGGATGAAGACAGCGGACACAGCTCCAGGAGGAGGGGCAGCAGCTCTAGTGGGGTTTCCTATGAAGAGTTCCAAGTGTAAGTTTATCCTTCTGAGGGGATGAATGTGTGGTGTTTGCTCCCCACCCCCCATGGGTTAGAATTCAGTTACATAGAATAGAATTAGAATTCAGTCAGAATTCAGTTATATAGTAGCCTCTCCTATAACTCTGAATATTAATCAGATTATTCATAAAAGTAAAAAAACCCCTGTCCTTAAAACCTGGTCATTGACAAGACAGAGAAAATGGTCATGCTACAGTAATGCCAGAAGACTTCTCTGGGTTTTTTAGTAGTAAAACCTTGAGGTTGTTTTAGGTTCAGTGAGAACTTCAGCTGTTGTTTTTAGTAAGATTAAGTTACTTCTGAGTATGTATTTTGCCTAAAAGGATAGATCTCTGTGTTAATTATAGCAACACTAGCTGAATGAAGAATTTGAGTAACTAGAACCAACAAATTTTGATGAGGATGGCCCTAAAAGCACAGAAAACAGAGTGAAATATGTACTTTTTTCCCATCTGCTTTACCCCTGTGTTACCTTCTTGCTCTTGTGTACCTTGTCCCTTCCTGGACAATAGGATTCATTTGTGGAAAGTCAGATGCATGCTTGAATTAAAATGCTGTCTCATCCTTATCTGCTCTGCGTGTTGACATGCTAGAATGATACTGACTCAGAAATGTCAGTCACTGAAGCTCACACTTGTTGCCCTCAGACTCATGAGGCGGGTTGATCGCATGGAGCATTCTATCGGCAGTATTGTTTCCAAGATTGACGCGGTTATTGTGAAGCTTGAAGCGATGGAGAGAGCCAAACTAAAAAGAAGAGATGTGTTGGGAAGACTGTTAGATGGCGTGACAGAGGTAAGGAACCTACTCTCTCCTGTCCAGTCTCAACCTGCATGGCTTGCTTACTGTTAGCACTTCTTCCTACTGCTTGGCTTGGGAGGGTTGAGGGAGTGGTGCTAAAGACAAGGTGGGTGCTTTGGCAGTTGCCAAGTGATTTCAGTTTTGTGTTAGGAAAACATGAAATTTAAAACATGAAATGTTAGGGACATGATGCAAGTTTCAGGTATGACAACCCATCTTATAGCAGGCCTGTGTCATGCTGAGGCAACAGACATTTAAACTCCTGACAGCATTTAAACTCCTGAACTGGACAGCAGTGGTGTTTGGTAGTTGCTGAAGCAGCTTGTTCATCCCTTGATGTTTGTTGGGATTAATACAAAGCTTCCCCCTGGTCTGGGGGATCCAGCTCACAGGCCCATGCAGCATGCTCCTCTTCTCCCATGTTTCTTCTGGGATTGTGTGTGGCAGGTGGAAGCAGGTCACTTCTGTCACCAGGGTTGTCTAGTTTCTATTGCCTCCCCTCCCACCTTCTCTTTCTTGTGGGCCCTTTGAAAGTGGCCAGTGGGACAAACGTGTTATTTCTGTGGATGCTAAAACCTGCCAGCTTCCTGGTGGAGCAAGAACAGCCAGAACAGGGCTGCTAAGGGGTGTGCGAGATGGACTGTCTCGATGGGTTATGTAGGTCAGACTTTTAGCTGTCCTGTCACAGATAAGGTGTTCCTGGCTGTTACTGTTGTTCCAGCCAATAATTCTGCTTGATTCATGAGATGGGGCTTCCTTGTGGGTGTGCTCTCCTCAGTATATTTTACAGTTCTGGAGGTGAATTTAAATACTAGAAACTGTAATACAAATTGTGCTTTCATAAGTGAAAGTGACAACCTGGGCATTACATCACTGGAAAGAAAATGAATTACTGCACTAGCTGTGTTTCTCCACTAGCCTATGGAGATACTTGAGTGGTATAAGAATTTCCCATGTTTGTATAGGCTTTTGCTTAGACTGTGGTTTGGAAGCTGTGCTTACAGCTTGCGTCTTTTAATCTATTTAGGATGAAAGACTGGGTCGTGACAATGAAATCCACAGGGAACAAATGGAGCGACTTGTGCGAGAGGAGTTGGAGCGATGGGAATCGGATGATACAGCATCCCAAATGAGCCATCGGTTGGGAACGCCACTTGGACTGAATGGCCAGCCTCGTTCGAGGAACTCTCGGCCATCTTCCTCCCAGTCAGATGGTATTGATGGGGGAGGAGGAAATGGGGGGAATAACATCCATGTGTAGGATTAACTTTGTGGGTGACTCTAAATGTTTCAGGTCAGTATTAAGCCAGCAAATACACTACTTCACTGTTTCCCAGCATGAGGTGATCATCCTTACCAGACCACCAAGGACAATTTTCACTGGTGGGCGAAGTAAATACCCTCTTCATAAGGCATTTTCAGACCTATGTAAGCCATGTGTCACATTCAGGTTACCAACAGTGAGACTGTCAGACTTGGAAACAAAAATGTGGAAGACAGAATGGAAATCAGGTGTGACAAAATCTACCTGGACAGAATTTTGGTTCCGTACATGCATTATGGGGAACACTGTCATGAGGGCAGCAAGCTTCAGACAAAATAAACACCACCATAAAAGTCACCAATGATCATAGAATTAAAATGTGCTGTGGCTAAAACAGTCAAATGAAAGGATGTGAGGTTTCTGCTTTCTATTGGAAAATATGACTTTTAAATGCTTGTAAAAGCAATTTTTAAAAAAGGATGGCATCAATTTCTTGTCTTATTCATTACAACAGCTGATACTTTCCAAAGAGATAAAACAGCACTTTTTTTTTTTTACTTTGAGTTGCTACCTATTTTTCTGAGTTACTCTCGGTGTACTAACATCTTAATTAACTTAAAATGTTCATTTTTACTATTTTTGAGAAATACTATGTTTCTTTAAACAGAAGAAAATGCATTTAGTTTGTACAACTGTAAATCACATTATTCCATAATAGAAACTGCATGCATTACATGTTTTTGCATTTCATTAGCATTTCAAAAGTAATATTTGAGAACTGCTCCTTCACACCCAACTAATGTAATCATTTTCAGCTTTGTTGCAAAGTGCTCATTTTTTGATGCTATATTTTCATGATCTAAGGGTTTCTGGGATAAACATTCCACAGGTTCTTAGGTAAATATGGTTACTTTGCAGAAAATATATTATTTAAAAGCACACAATTGAAAAACACTAACTGTTCCTTGGGTGTGACAGGGAAGGGGGCAGAGAAGTTGCTGACAGTTGGGAAAATCCAATTTCATGCTCTATCATGTTCTAATCATGTCTCAACTATGTAGTCTGTATTTACATTTAACAGAACTGCTTGTAAAATTATTAGGTATATTTCTACATTTGCTTTTCTGCTGAGGTGCAACATGTGATTCCTTTGGAAAGGTGTTTGTAGTATAATCACTGATTTTTAGTATTTCATTTCCTCTGCTTTCTGTGTCATAGAAGCTTTTGGTTTTTTGAAAGGAGATGCAACACTGAAATTATGTTGGTTTCCTATAGAAAGCATTGAGGCGTAGTGTTCGTAGCTTTGCCTAGCAACATGCTTCCATATGTGGAATGCTGGTTTAGGAGGGAGGTTGTCAATTGTATTTTTTTCCTGAAGATGGCAGTTGTCTTGTATTTAAAGACTTAGAGCTGGTGTAAAGGAAAATGGAAAGCTACGTAATCAAACAAATCTTAGCTATTAGTAGGGTATATAGAGGAAAAAAAATGCCTATTTAACAAAGTATAAGTAGAATGGATATGTTATGTTGGTGCTTTTTATTTCAAAAAGCAGTTGTTGCCAGGGGTTAGCACCTCATTCTTGTGGTAGTACTGCTTAGGCAAAGCGTTCATCTTGCATATGTTCTTACAGCTGCATTGCCTGGATGTACAACGACTCAGAATGCCTTCCCTCTAACCAGAGAACTTGCTAAAACTAAATAGATTTTGTGCCTTTTCCTATTTTTAGGTTTACGAGAAACCTAATGCACAGAAAATTAATGCAAGGTGGAGCAGGAGGAAGTTCAGTGTGGAGCCTGGAATTTCTTAGTAGCTTTGGCTGGAGAACAGAACAATGTGGGAAAACAAGTTATGATTCTTGTGAAGTATTTTTTCTTTCTGTGGGTTATTTTGTCCTGTATTAGGAAGAAATTCATACTGTTTCACAAGAGACTCCGTCAACTTCCCAAAACAGCGCACAGCACAGTGGTTAGGGCATTTGTGTGAAGCAAGAGACACTCAGACTAAGCTCTGTCTTGCCTTGATTGAAAGCTTTTTGGACCTTAGAAACCTTCCTGAGGAAAGCTTTCCTGTGTTGAACTGGCATTTCTGGCTTTAAACAAACAAACAAAACAAAAAACCACTAGCTGTACACATAGCTAGCTGGTGTGCAAGGAAAACAGAAAATACACTACAAAGCAATTTAAATATACATAGCTTTGTCTTTATATTCATATCCAAAATAGTGTGTTGGTATGTGATACGATTCGCAGCTTAAACTTTGAAGCATGCTAACTAATTACATGTGTGTAACATGTAATTGATGTTGGGTTTCCAGGGTCAAGGGTTAACTAAATGCTAAGATAGTATTTAAATAATCATGTACTCAAAATCAGTGACTTCAGTCAAATGATGCAACTTGAGTTGTCCAGCAATCAGCTGGAACCTTATTAAGAATACTTTGTGTTAAGGTTTGTTCCTGTGGCCTGTAACGCATGTGGCATGCTGAGGTTCGTGGCAGCAGGGGCTGGGGAGTGTGCAGAAGTGACCTAGTGGTCGTCTGTTGAGGTGAGGCAGGGCCTTCCTGGGGGAAAAGAAAACAAAACTAAACCTATCAGTATGATTTTAAATAGGTTTCCTGTAAAAATGTATCTTTCAAAATGTAAATTCAATCATGCAGTTCATCTTTATTTGTAGTATATGTTTATTATGAAAATGAAAATGTTTGCATTCATAGCTGTATTTGTTGAGGTATATTTCTGTAACGTGTCGTTACTTAATAACAAACTTCATCTTGAAGTGCAGTAAGTTTTCATGGGGTACCCGTGTGCATTGACAATGGGCCTTGCAGTAAGTGCCTGGCCACTTGACAAAAGTTACAAACATTTTATTATTTCATTTTTCAACTTTAGATTATAATATCATTTGTCACTTATTACAAAGGCAAGGTTTTTGCATAGTAATGTACAGTGTTTGGTCTTATTAGGAAGCTGTTAATTATGCAAGTCTTCTACAATGATCAAGAATGTATTGATCTGTAAAACTGAGCACTTTACTTCCTAATAAACATTTTATATCATCTATAAGGCAAACATTGTGCCATGCACTTGGTTTGTTTATAACGGAACATTAAGAATCCTACGTTTTATTTGTGTGCATTACTAATATCTCATACCTTATTCTCAGATTATCTAATAATGTAAAAAGGGAGTACAGGGTGTAAATGAACAGAGAGGACTGGGCTGGTCCTACTGCTTCATTGCCCAAACAGTACTTTTTTTAAACGCTTTATTTCACATCTGCGTTTGTGCAAGTGCGCAGGTCTATTTTCTGCTATTTCAGGTAGCAGCTCCAACTGCTAGTAACTCTGTCCCTTTATTACTTCACAGTTGCTGTGTAAGTTAATGTCTCTACTCTTTTTCTCTGTTCCCCTTTATTTTGTCCCTTTGTTTCAGGGAATCCTACAGGATCTGGAGGGTTGAATGGTCCTTGGAAATCCCAGGCTTGCATATAAATCCATCTCGGTCTTCAACGAAATACATGCATACTGAATTTATTAAGTATATTAAGCCTTTAGTCAGTGCACTATAAAAGCCATAGTGTGTGGAAAGTGGGATTTTTTTTTTTTTTTTTTTATTTAATACTGTGTGTATGCTATAGTGTTGCTGACTTTTGAAAATTTCTTCAGGAATTGCTGTTTGAGATGCACATTTGGAATAAGAGCCACGTAATTCTTCCATATCCCACGGGCATCACTTGGATGCCTTGTGTATTCAAATACTCTTCTCCAGTAAATCTAAAGGAAAAAAAAAAAAACCAAACTGAGAAAAAGGGAAAAAAGTTAACATTATGATAAAACATCTGCAAGCAATTGTTACTTGTATATTTAGGCACCAATGGGGCTTTTTTGGTTCCCTGCTTATATGTGCAGTGTGTACGAAGAGGATAGCAATCGGAGGTGGAGGAGTCCTTCCCAGAGTCCGTTCTGCAAGCAGTCCTTTAGGAGAAGGTTTTTGCTGCGTTTGTCCCTGGACCCTCCCCATACAGCATCCCTGGCCCTGCTGGGGTCCCCAGGGCAGCGACGAGCCCCCTTGGAAACACAGGTAATTGGTGGTGGGAGGACCCATAAGCAGTGCTGCTTCCAAGAGGAAAGGCAGAGCCTAACATTTCAGAGACACTTAAGTCGTGTCCGTCTTTTTCTGAACTGAATCGCTGAAATTCTGATGCTCGCCAACCGTTCTTCCCTTTCTGCACACAAACTGAATTAATTCAGAAGTACGGTTGTCTTCTGTTTTACTATGAAAAAACATTTTTAGCACCTCAGATTATGCCCTGTTTTTACCTGAAAGTACCTGTGGATGGCTGGAAGAAAATCAGTTCTCAATTGCTAGCAAACAAATGATGAAGTATTATTTACTAAAGCATGCTAAATGGAAGAAAACATTACTCCTTAGTTTAGTTCGTGCTCTGTCTCTTCCAGAAAAGATACAATGTTATATTTCGAAAGAAAATAAATAGTTTGCAAAACAAACCAGTCTTCTACAGTGGAGAAATGCAAAAAAACTGTCAGAAACTTTTTTCCCTTTGTGCGATCTTAACAAAAATAGCAGCTTGGGTACGGACTTGTTTTCAGGAACGTAGGAGTGCGTTAGAAGATTTCTGATTTCACAGTGAGTCTGTGTTCCTCCTGTGCCATAACGGTCCTTCCAGGTTTTAAGCGCTGATCATGCAAAACAGGTACAGAAAGGTGGAAGGACAGCTTAATGATTCGGATGGTAGACTGACGTTCAAAAGAGTTGTCTCTCTTTTATACATGTCACCTCACCCTGATGTGTTAACACACAAATTCAACTGGTCCCAGCTTGGTTCAAAGGACTGTTATAAATATGCTGGTGCTGAAGTGTGGGAAACACTAAATGCTAAAACAGCAGTGGGATCACAAGCAAGTTTTCCTTGGGCTGGAGATTTCTGGCAGCACTCCTGCTTTGCTTCTACTCTAAGGAATACTCCGGGAGACTGAAACTGCATCCCAGGAGGCAAAGGGCAGGCCTGAAGGCAGCAAACTTGTGCCTCTTGTAACAGACCTGAATTCGGACTTAGTGTGAGAGCAGCCTTCCTGCAGCCAGGCGTTCAGGTATCTTGGAGCAGGCCTACCAGCAGTAGGATGCTAGGAAGAGTCCAAGAACTTTTTTGAGACTTGGGGAGTGTACTGGGTTTGTGTGGCTCTCAAGAAGTTATTAGTAATAAATGCAATACTTAGATTGCCAGTGGACTGATGGTGACAATTTGCATCAGCCACAGTTTTGCTGGTGACATTTTCACAAAATTTAGACCAGTAAGTGCATTCATTTGCAAAGCCTTGAAACAAGTAAGAGAAGATTAGCAGATACTCACAGGGACTAAATGCTCCTTGAAAGACTATTCACGCAAAACAAATCAACAACATTAAACTGTTACAGAGCTAGAATTTGTTTAACTGCTGTCCAGATTTTGAGACTTCTACTTCTGAAAAAAATCCTTCCACGGAGAAGAGTTGAGCTTTGTTTTCAGGTAAGTCACAGTTAAGGTATTTTTGAAATACTCTTAACAGTGCCTTGACTGCCAGAAATGCCTGTGTGTGCCTGCACAGGCTGCTGCTTTTCACTGTTGTACGGAGAATGGTATGATGAAAATTCCAAGAAACACTCAAAACAAAAAAACACTCCTTTCAGGCTACACTTGCAATTACTGGTTCATTCCAACATCTGAGGTAAGCACACTTTTGTACTGCTATCAGCTTTTCCTGCAGCTGAGATGGAGAGTGTAAGACCGGGTTCCCTGACTCCCCAGTTACTGATGGCTGTGAGAAACCTTAAGCTGCAGGAAGGCAGACCTGGCGAGCGTTGGAGACACTCAGTGTCTAGCTGTGAGCTGCCAGGGGCCACTGCTGCAGACCTACAGGAACAGCCAACTCCAGCGAGCGCCGCGTCCGGAGCTTCCTGGGGAGTCTCCTTCCGCAGCTGGTGGCACCCAGCCTCTTAGCTGCCTCCCAACCATTTCCCGACATAGGAGGAGGTAGCCCCAGATCTGAAAAGCTCTCAGCTCAAGTAAGTTTTCATATTTATCATATAGAAAAGGTATGCAGCTGTTCTGGTTTTAAAACTGTTATATGTTACTGAGCTTTGAATACTGTTACTGTAAAGATACTAGCTGTGCTTGGCCAATTAGTCTTGCTAAGCCAGGTAAATGTCAACAGAAAGAGATTCCTTTAGCAGGAATTCCTACCCCAGTATGACCCATTTCATCATAGTAATGCTTATCAAGGACCGAGGCGGATTTACTGAGGCATGGCTTTAGAAACTTGAGCACAGATAATTTGCCTAAAATTTGTGACACTTCTCCCCCTTTTTCTAAACAGGCAGCAAGTCCCCTTGCAAGAACCTCCAACTTCCATTTTGGAAAAATGATTGCTTTCTCATTGCAACCCCCAGAAAGCAGGGAAGGAATCCTTGCATGAGTCATGCTTTTGTCCTGATAAGAAATTTCTGTTTCTTTCTATGTTCTTATTACACAGCTCTAACATCATAAAGGCCAGTTAGCTTTCCTGGCTTGGTCATTTAAAACAATTCAGTGAAGAAACAGGTTTGACAAGGGTTTTAACTGTTTAACTGGCTGTTAATTCATGCCCAGCAAGCAATAGGAGGGAGACTCAGACTGGGAGAGAAAAGGCATTTATCTTATGTTCAGAAGTCTTTTCCCTTTTTTTGATAGCTGGCAGCAAGATGAATGTAGAAGGAGAACTCACTAAACAAAAGGAGGGAAATGTTTAGATTGAAAGAAGTTGTTTATATCTGTAAGAACCATAATCACACAGACACAGATTATTTAGAAAATAGAACTGTGTCTCATGGAAGATCCAGGGGAGCAACTCCAGGAGTCTTTGTTGTCATTGCTGCTATTTACATTATCAGATTGTACTCTCTTGTCCTGTGCTCTACGTTCTGTGTAAAAAATATACAGCTAAAAACAAAGTGAGTGATTGCACTTTAGTGAATGTTCAAGAGACAGCAAGTTGATGTTTATGAAAATAGCATTTACCAGTTAATATTAGAAAATCATTGCCCTTTTTTTCCCAAATTAAATGATGGTCTCTTTGGGAAGATTATTTGAATAAAATATGCAGAAAACCTAGCGCTATTAGGCTGTGGTGAGGAATACTGAAATTTTTCATTCAGGAAAGAAAAACTTGAATACTTGTAGTATTTATCAGCATCCCAGAGGAAATCTGCAAACAGAAAATATGTAACTACAAATCCATAACAGGGATTGTTTGAAGAGGTTTGACTACCTTGGACTGATGCCAGCGCATGTCCAGAAACAATTTTCGTCACGTTACCAGAGGTGCCTGACTGCAGGGTATTGCATCCTAAGCACTTGACTCTGTGCCCACTAGGTCAATGGAAATATAACCAATGCCTTAGAGGAGGCAGGTGGCTGTTTCATAATACTGGAGAGTGAGGGAATAATTGCAGTGTTGTATTCTTTGAAGAAGAAGGGTGCCTAGAATATTAGCAAGGCAGCTTTCTTGAGAATGAAATGGTCTGCTTAGCATGACTCAAAACCCTATGGAGGCAAAGATTATTTCTCTCAAAATATGAAGGAAATACATGAGACTGGAGAAGCACGATTTACTTATTTAACAGGCTATGTTAGGCTTTAGTGATGTTTGGATTTCTGCAGCCGGAATGTAGTCAAAAACAGGGGCAAGAACTGAGAGAAAGCGTCTGGGCCTATGAACGCATTTTGACCTGTTTGTGAGCTGTATGGGTTAATCAGTATGTCTGATGACTACTTTTACCCTTGTTTTGTGATTATTTCAATTCCATGTAGGGTCTTTATCTTTTTGGATAAGGATGGTTTGCAACAGTTTTCACCCTTTTCCTCATCCTTGTGTCCAAAGAAGGGCAACAAAGCTGGTGAAGGGTCTGGAGCACAGGCCTTATGAGGAGCAGCTGAGGGAACTGGGGTTGTTTAGTCTGGAGGAAAGTAGGCTGAGGGGAGACCTTATCACTCTCTACAACCACCTGAAAGGAGGTTGTAGTGAGGTGGGTGTTGGTCTTTTCTGCCAAGTAACAAGCAATCGGACAAGAAGAAATGGCCTCAAGTTGTGCCAGGGGAGGCTTAGACTGGATACTAGGAAAAATTTCTTCACCAAAAGGGTCATCAAGCATTGGAAGAGGCTGCCCAGGGAAGTGGTTGAGTCACCATCCCTGAACGTATTTAAAAGACGTGTAGACATGGTGCTTAGGGACATGGTTTAGTGGTGGACTTGGCAGTGCTAGGTTAACAGCTGGGCTCCAGATCAAAAGATCTTGAAGGTCTTTTCCAACCTATTCTATGATTCTATGGAGTTGTCCAACTACATGTAAATATTTTACAGAATCAATTAAATAACTGACTTGCTAATATCAGTTTTGAAAACAAGGCAGCAATTCTGAAAACGAAATTTGCTTTCTATAGTGTCTAGCCTTCTGCTTGCTTCATCAAAAGCCCTTCAAATTGTTCTACTGCCAGGCTTACTAATGCATTTCAAATTCCACTGGAATAATTCTTTATTGCAGCAAAATTGCTCCACCAGTCGATATTGTTGATTATTAAATACCTTTTTAGCTACAGAGAAGTAGCTAAAAAAGTAAGAAATGTGGGGGTTTTTTAAACGAAATATCTTGTTGAAAGCTATAATAACCACAATATAAGACAAATATAAATACAAACATAAACTAACAAACAATGAAAAGGGATTTATGAAATTCCGAATTTTTTCAACCTCGGAGGTTAATTAGAAGCATAACAGTGTAATCTTAAGGTAAGTCACTCTTCAATGAGTTTTACAGACACAGATGATTTGCATAGTCAGTGAAGGCTATTTGTCTCTATTTCTTTATTTGTAGTTAGGACAAAGTGCTTTCAAATCAATAAGGCTCCTTCCTTTGTAACAAAACAAAACAAAAAAGTACACAGGAAGCCTTGTTAGGCACCTTGTTTTCTGTATTGGTAATATTTTGAAGCTTTGTGTATTAAGTTTTAAGAACTAAAATTGTCATAACTCAGGCTGAACTTCTAC